CCAATTGGACATTTTGTACCTATCTCTAGGGACCTACAGCAGGTAACCGGCTTGGGTCAGGCAATAGAAGTGTGGGTACCCGGGTAGCAAATTTTGACTTGTTCCACCCCTAAAGTGTATATAATTGTAAAGGGTGCGGGGTATTACCGGTACACCGGTATATTGTGGTGCAAATCTTCAGCAATGCGTATTGCGATACGTTTGTAAATGTAGCAATATATTGGGGCAAATATAAATAGGTATATTTATATGTTCCTAATCATTATGGAGATGGAAAATAGTATCTTTTTGATACAACTTGCCTCTGACGATCTTTTTATCAATTTGCTCCTCAAGCTCCTCACAGCGATTGCCCGTTCGCGGAGCTCTCTATACTGAGAGTATAACGAAGGTGTCACGTGCTGGGAAGGAGCTTGATCCCATGTGACAGTATTATCTCCCTTGATTGTTGCTGGGATACAAAATGGCAGATAATTTCGACATCGTCCAAAATAAGCGAGCCAAGGCTGATGTCTGGCGATTCTTCGGCAAGATATTGCAATACGTATCGCAATACAGGTTAAAGTATGGCAATATTATGCAATACAAAATCCTGGTCAATACACAGCCCTAATAATTGTCCAGTAATTATTATCAAAAACATTTTAGTTTTAATTATGGTATGTTTCTTTTCAGACTTTCACGTGTTATTGTCTATTCGATGTCCAGAACCAATGGCCTAAGCTAGCAGTATCAAATGTTAAAATAATATTGTATTTGTGTCATATCCATATTGCCAAGCCAAATGGTACTTGCTTTTTCCAAATTTTCGATTGAGAAAAAATATGGATGCATCAAGCAAAGTATTCATTTGTACTGAAAATTCTAAAAGATTTCTGGGATCCAATTGTATTCAACTATGTTTATCAACCAATCATATTGCAGCACACACTCCAATGATCAATAGTATATTAAATGAGAATCACCACAACAACACAGCATTCGTGCATCATTAAACATTAACCAAAACATTTTGGATGAAAGACAAATTAAATATGTCAAGAGGAAATAAATGTTCATGTACAAAAGTCATTATTGGCCATGGCAGACATTTTTGCCAGTGTTTGTTAGGCTAACAAAAATAAAAGTCTTGGTTCTCAGGCAAAAAATTTGTAAAATCTAAATATTTTGTACATTTGTATACTTATCCTGCATTACTCCTTCATGCATTCACTGCTAACCTTATGACAACAAAAAGACAATTCACATAATAATTCACATAATATTTCACACCCCAAAACAACGACACATGTACCGGGTATGTCAATAACCCGATGGCATACTAACGTCGGTATGTGTTGATGACACAGGAGACAGTCATCTATATACGACTCCAACCAAAGGTTCTTCAGGTGCAGAAACGCAGTTATTAGCTTCATTATTCATGTTAATACTAAATAGCCACGGGGCCACTGAAATGCCAAATGGGAGCACTGGTAGTGAACTCCATTGAACTGGAACCCGAGGAACCTGCGGTCTGAGGGATGGATAGGTATATGCAGGTAAGCATCCTGCAAGTCGAGAGTGATCAAGGAATCTAACGCATTGATGCTGGTTCTGCGCAGTCTCAAATAAGGTGGATGCTTCAGATAACGTTCGTTAAACACGGAGAGATTGTGGATCATTCTCATCTGGTCTGAGTCCTTCTTGTGTACCAGGAAGATGCGAGAATAAAACCCCAGTGTTAACTTTGTGGGGTGTACAATATCTACAGCTCTTTTCTCCAACGTTATGTCTATGTTGGATTTTAATAGAAAAATATTTTAATAGCAGATGTTGCTTCCTTGAATATTTCCAAGGCAGAGGAGCTATGGTCAACGATGGGGTTACCTCTACGTCTAACGTAGTATGTTGAGTATCTAATCGTCCTTGAGAATGGTCCAGTTATTCCAAAACAGATTCAGTGTCCTGCCTATGGGGTAATCGACAATTGGGACGACTGGGGGCGGGAGTTCCCAGACGTGACTGTCCAACACTTCAGTGTTAACCCCTCTTATCACCTCCCCTGCCTTGGTATTTACCACGACCCGACTGTTAAGAACCTTGAGGTTTTTCTCTGCCTTGGCCTTCCTTGAGAGATGCGCGTCTAGGCTTATAATTGCCTGATCCCAGCCCGCTGGGATAAACTGTGAGAGACGTGCTCTAGAGCCTTGAGCAAGGTCTCATCCCTAGCGTATTTGGTAACTTTGGCGTGCGTGTCTGCGATCTGTTTATTGAACAGAGAAGTAGATGACCAAGGTTGACGTAGCAGTCTGTGTTTGAACTCAGAGTCCCAGTCGGAAAGCGCGAAATAACCAAGTCTGCATGTGACGGTAATCTCTGATAGATCCTGATCCACCGCACGAGGTGACGACGCTAGTGCTGAAAAAGGTTTCAGTACATGCCTGACTTCCATTTCTATGAATGCAAATCTAGAATCTTGTACCTTGGGGGTGGTTGGCCTTGACGAGCCTGTCATCCTTTGTATGTCCTCATTCAAACTATGAGCTTGGTCTGCTACCGCAAAGCATGGATAGGAAAATTATCATTCCAAAACTTGGATAGGCTCAAATGACGGAGCAAGTGCATAATGTCTGTCAACATCGGATCCACCAGAATCAATTCAGGATGTGACCATATGGTGTCCCTCTGATCCACCCGTTACCAGGGGAGGGTGCCACTGACATAAGACGGTCTGTTAGGGGTACTTGGTATACGTTAGGCGCTGGTGTAGGCGCTAACACTTGTGCCATAGTTGTAGCTGACGCAGGCGTCTCTTAGATAGGTGTAGGTGTAAGCCCAGGATACATGTGTGCCATAGACTGCTGCCAAATGGACTGCATAAAGATTTGCATCCAATTTGTGTTCTGGAGTGTGTGAGTTGGGTTTAACGCTGCTTTTAACATTATTCCAGTTATATCACGGCGTGTCAGCTTAATGTAGGAGGAAAGCCCCAAGTGATGCAGGTCTCAGGTCACGTTTACAACTTCGTTGAAACCCACGAGCATGGGTATGGTGCTGACAAACCTAGAAACATAATTGGGGCGCACCGGGGTTCGAACCCACAATCATAGGTTTCTGGCGTGTCCAGGGGACGCAACTCTGCACAGCGAATCGCGGCGCCTTAGAAGACTGGGCCACCCGTGACCCCTTGTGTTCTGGAACGGTGCTGACACCAGAGTGTACATCTGCTGCGCTGGATAAGTCGTTGGAACAGCTCTAAGCTGATCATGCGTTGCCTGCATAACAGGGTACACTGTAAGCCCTGGGGCTGATGTAATTGTAGAGGTGCTTTGGTCGTAGACAGGCGCTGCGCTTGGTGCAGGCCTTTGAGTGAGTGAGTATCGTCTTACGCCGCTTTTAGGGGGACACCAGAAATGGGCTTCACACACTGTACCCATGTCGAGAATCGAACCCCGACAACCCTGCAGGCCTTTGAGATGCAATGCTAATCGGTGATGACTGGATCATGGCTTGAGCCTGTGCTACGACCATCAAGGCGTCTTGAAACTCACGCACCGGCATCGCAGGGATAGTAGTACTGTATGTCTGAGGCGCCTGAAAATTTGGAGCAAGTACGATACTCACAATAGCCCCAGGTACTGTTGATATCGGCAGAGGATGAACGTCTGCAATCACAATGATTGAAGCCATATTATCCACTGAAAATAACGGCTGCGTAGTAATGACAGAAGAATGTCTGTCGCTTACCTCTAGCGATTGTGACATCTTCCTCGCCACTCGACGGGACTGCTGCAAAATACGTTTGTGAATGACCTGTCTCGCTGGAGAGAGAGGTGCACAAAAGTTACATTTAAAGTTTGGAGAGCAAATCTGCGTGCATGCCAAACAACATGGTTGAGGATCCTGGGTAGATTTTTTTCCACAACGTGCAAGCATAATAGAGAACTGCTGATGAGACGGAGTTGGAAGATTGCCATAGAATTAAACAATATTCTATCAGCAGATATTTTTATGAGTTGAAAGTGTATACAAATATTGATACACGCAAACTCTTTGTAACGCCAAAGCTACTAGTATTTAAAAACACATGAATATGTTATGCATACGAAGCTGAGAATTGTAAACAATTTGACTACCCTTGCAGGCAAACAATTGTAACACAAATTCAAAATGGCGAGAAACAAGCACGTGGCGGGAAAAAAGACAAATTATTTTTACGTCTAAATAACCCACACAAAAATACACAACTTAGTGAAAATAATATGAAGAGAATACATCACCCATTGCAGGTAAAATTAAGAATTACAGCCGAAACTGAAGGTCTAAAATTATCCCATTTGAAGAGCTCTGCTGAGAGATGTCCTTGCTGTATCGCCACAGGCAGTGATGTGAGGAAGGTGACTTATTATCAAGGTCACATGACAGCGACGATGGTCCGTATAAATTAAAGGGATTGGAATGTGAAACAACGTTATTTCTTCACCCAAGATGAGTGAGTGAGTGAGTTGGGTTTAACGCCGCTTTTAACAGTATTCCAGTTATATCACAGTGTGTCAGCTTAATGTGGGAGGAAAGCCCGAAGTGATGCAGGTCTCAGACGTTTACCAGTTCGGTGAAACTCACCAGCACGGGTATGATGCTGACAAACCTAGAAACATAATAGGGGTGAACCGGGATTCGAACCCACAATCATAGGTTTCTGGCGTGCCCAAGGGAGGCAACTCTGCACAGCGAATCGCGGTGCCTTAGACGACTGGGCCACTCGTGCTCCCTCTTCACCCAAAACCATCACCGTGCACCATCCCATGTTGTCGTAAGGTAAGCAGTGAATGCATTTAGGAGTAAAAAAATTACTGGAATACAGTATTTGACTACAGTTGGACTTATTAAAGATTTTTTTGTTTTTTTTAGAAATGGAAATAGAAACAAAACGCGCTGCAAACTTTATGATGAAGCGGGCGGTGGCTGAGAACCAAGAGCATTATTTTTTATATCCTAATAGTGAGTTTTTCTCTTACCCAGAACCTCTGCACTGCCCTCCGGTGTCTATCTTGGGTAGTTCTGATGAAGTCGTCGTATTGGATGTTGGCTGATTGAAACAAAACCTGCAATGGTCAGGTGAGCTAAGTGTCATGCAGTTGCATCAAACCAACATGGTCATCATTTAAACAACATCTAGGATCTCAGGACTGGATGTGTAGCTATGTTAATAATTATTGCATAAACAGTTAACATGAGTAATAATAGACAGGAGTGAGTGAGTGAGTTGGGTTTTATGCTGTTTTAAACAGTATTCCAGTTATATCACAGCGTGTCAGCTTAATGTGGGAGGAAAGCAGTAATGCAGGTCTCAGACGTTTACCACTTCGGTGAAACCCACAAACACGGGTATGGTGCTGACAAACCCAGAAACGTAATTAGGGCGAACCGGGATTCAAACCCACAATCATAGATTTCTGGCGTGCCCAAGGGAGGCAACTCTGCACAGTGAATTGGATCACTGTACAATATTACCAATCAACAACTTGTTGTGAAATATAGTAAAGAACATCAACAAATCTGGTAATCAAACTTATCAATGTTGAAAACCTTTGTTCGTTTAAATCCTAATTGGCCAACAACCAAGTCACTGAGCTTGACCTTATGACATTAGGTTACTGGGAAGCAATTCTAGCCCAGAATCCCCCTGGGTGTGTGTCTGTGTGGCTGCTTGTACTTGTCCAGACTAATGCTGGTTTTATAATGCTAGCCCACTGAGATACCATGCCACAGTTTAACATAGATACCCCACTCAGACACAGCTTGTTTGTTTGTTGTTTAACACTGTACTAAGCAGTATTCCAGATATGTGATGGTGGGCTGTAAATAATCGAGTCTGGACCAGACAATCCAGTGATTGACATCATGAGCATCGATCCATGCAATTGGGATCGATGACATGCATCAACCAAGTCAGTGAGTCTGACACCCTATTCCGTTAGTCGCCTCTTACGACAAGCATAGTTGCCTATCGAATCTGAGCAAATCAGTCCTTACTTAATGCCTTTAATGCCTTACTGAGTGCCAGGCAGAGTAACAAGAAGTACCAACTTTTAACGTCTTTTGGTAGGATTTGGACGGGGGTCGTAAAAAAAACGACCTTCAGCTCTCTGGGCAGACGCTCTATCAAGGACTGTAAGAAGTTAAGACTCTGAAAGTTGTTGGTATTTAGATTGTTTTGTTTCTTGTATAATGCTGAACTCAGCAATATTCAGACCATATGACTTCGGCTTGATAATAATTAAGTGAGTGAGTGAGTGAGTTTGGTTTTACGCTGCTTTTAGCAATATTCCAGCAATATCACAGCGGGGGATACCAGAAATGGGCTTCACACATTGTACCCATGTCGGGATTCGAACCCGGGTCTTCGGCGTGACGAACGAACGCTTTAACCACTAGGCTACCCGACCCCCCTATAATGATTAAGTGCTTGACAGTGCTTGACAGTGCTTGACATTATGAGCCATGGTCCGTGCCGTCAGGCACAATGACACACCACAAGCCATGTGACAGAGCCTGACCACCAGATCCATGAAGTCACCTCATGGATGACAAGCATAGGCTGCTGGGACCCAATTCAAACTCAGAATCTCCACAGCAGCTGGAAATTATTACAACATCCATAACTATCCTAAACATCAACTCCACCTTAAACTGCTGGGACACTTCATCACAGTAGTCTGGTGGTGAGCGCTCACTTCGGGATGCTGCTTGCTGAATCTGAAAATATAGTACAACATAGTACATCTTCATCATCGTCGTCATCATCGTCTTCATCATCGTCATCATCATCATCATCATCATCATCACAACAACAGCAACAACAATAATAATAACAATTTCTATATAAATAATAATACCAATAAAATAAAATATAAATAACAAGAACCACAGAAACAACCAAAATCATATAAATTGATAAACTGCCAGTCACATGACAATAACCGAGATGATGAATTGTTGCTCTGTGAGGTGAGGGTGAGGTGAGGTGAGGTGAGGTGAGGTGAGGTGAGGTGAGGTGAGGTGAGGTGACAAGTGTTCTTGTTTACCGGTAATTACAATATTTTTCACTGGTAAAATTAGGCTTGGACCGGTAATTCATGTGACTGTCAGTCCCTGTAGACCGGCAAAAAAAGAACCTTATATATTTTTTGTTGTTCAAACATCGGCGTTAAGACCCGTTTTATTAAAATATACATCTTGATTATTGATCAGATAGTCATGACTGAGTGCCGCCATTTTGTTTGAAGCAAATGCAAGTGATAAGAGAAGTGGAATCTGATTGGTCAGTAAACATGGTAAAAGGGACATACAAGGGACATAACTCATAATAGCCACTGGTGGCGCTACGATTGAGCCATGGAAAATCCAGCCTAGTTTGGCAAGGGTGGAAACTGGACTTTAATAGTCAGTTACATCCCTTGTGTCGGAAAGATGGTCAAATTGGACAGGCTACGTGTGGTCAGTCAGGATCTTCACATGTTGTGCTACATGTCATCAGCCAGGATCTTCATGGGTTGTGCTACATGTCGTCAGCCAGGATCTTCACATGTTGTGCTACATGTCATCAGCCAGGATCTTCATGGGTCGTGCTGCATGTCGTCAGCCAGGATCTTCAGATGTTGTGCTACATGTCGTCAACCAGGATCTTCATGGGTCGTGCTACATGTCGTCAACCAGGATCTTCATGGGTCATGCTACATGTCATCAACCAGGATCTTCACGGGTCATACTACATGTCGTCAACCAGGATCTTCACGTGTCGTGCTACATGTCGTCAGCCAGGATCTTCACAGGTCATGCTACATAGGTCGTGCTACATGTCATCAGCCAAGATCTTCACAGGTCGTGCTACATGTCGTCAGCCAAGTTCTTCACAGGTCGTGCTACATGTTGTCAGCCAGGATCTTCACAGGTCGTGCTACATGTCGTCAGCCAAGATCTTCACAGGCCGTGCTACATGTCGTCAGCCAGGCCCTTCACAGGTCGTGCTACATGTCGTCAACCAGGACCTTCACAGGTCGTGCTACATGTCGTCAACCAGGATCTCCACAGGTCATGCTACATAGGTCGTGCTACATGTCGTCAGCCAAGATCTTCACAGGTCGTGCTACATGTCGTCAGCCAATTCTTCACAGGTCGTGCTACATGTTGTCAGCCAGGATCTTCACAGGTCGTGCTACATGTCGTCAGCCAAGTTCTTCACAGGTCGTGCTACATGTCGTCAGCCAAGTTCTTCACAGGTCGTGCTACATGTTGTCAGCCAGGACCTTCACAGGTCGTGCTACATGTCGTCAGCCAAGATCTTCACAGGCCGTGCTACATGTCGTCAGCCAGGACCTTCACAGGTCGTGCTACATGTCGTCAACCAGGACCTTCACAGGTCGTGCTACATGTCGTCAACCAGGACCTTCACAGGTCGTGCTACATGTCGTCAACCAGGATCTCCACATGTTGTGCTACATGTCATCAGCCAAGATCTTCACAGGTCATGCTACATGTCATCAGCCAGGACCTTCACGGGTCGTGCTACATGTCGTCAGCCAGGATCTTCACAGGTCGTGCTACATGTCGTCAGCCAAGATCTTCACGGGTCGTGCTACATGTCGTCAGCCAAGATCTTCACAGGTCGTGCTACATGTCGTCAGCCAGGACCTTCACAGGTAGTGCTACATGTCGTCAGCCAGGGCCTTCACAGGTCGTGCTACATGTCGTTAGCCAGGACCTTCACAGGTCGTGCTACATGTCGTCAGCCAGGACCTTCACGGGTAGTGCTACATGTCGTTAGCCAGGACCTTCACAGGTCGTGCTATATGTCATCAACCAGGATCTTCACATGTTGTGCTACATGTCGTCAGCCAAGATCTTCACAGGTCGTGCTACATGTCGTCAGCCAAGATCTTCACAGGTCGTGCTACATGTCGTCAGCCAGGACCTTCACAGGTCGTGCTACATGTCGTCAGCCAGGACCTTCACAGGTCGTGCTACATGTCGTCAACCAGGATCTTCACAGGTCGTGCTACATGTCGTCAGCCAGGACCTTCATGGGTCGTGCTACATGTCGTCAGCCAGGATCTTCACAGGTCGTGCTACATGTTGTCAGCCAAGATCTTCACGGGTCGTGCTACATGTCGTCACTCTGGGAACCAATGTTCATGCCTTCACCAAGACTTATAACCGAGAGTTGTCCGGACTAGTGACTAGATAAGCAGGTAAATCTGTGTGGTTGGATGGAGTGATAGTGTGAGTAGGGATGGAGTGATAGTGTGAGTAGGGATGGAGTGATAGTGTGAGTAGGGATGGAGTGATAGTGTGAGTAGGGATGGAGTGATAGTGTGAGAAGGCCAGGACAACAGCAGGGACACACACAAGTAAGGCTTCATAAATTTTACAGTGTTTGGAATGAAGCAAGGTTTCTGCAAGAGTGACCCCATCCCATCCATCTTCCCCTCAATCAATTCCAATGACATTCACACCTGGATGAACACTAACCAAGCCATGAAACAAAGGAAGGCAAGGATAAATACCATAAACATATTAATATTTTAAGACATGCTTTTTCCTTCATGTGAGGCGATGTGGAATGTGGTTTATCATCATTGAAGGGAAAGTTCACACGAAACTGAACCTATTTTTCTTGTACACTTTCAACATGGAGAGTATTTACCCAGTAGTTTCACAGCCAAAACAATTCAAATATAAAGTAACTAATTTATTTTATTCATTAAATTGATTCATATTATTAAAGAGTTCTATTTCCATGAGAAACACACCATGGCTTATGCCCCTTGCAATATGACGTCATTGGTGCCAATTGATAAATTAATGACGTCATAAGACTTTATTAGACCTTTTTCACTGAGAGTTCTATTTCCATAATAAACACACCATGGCTTATGCCCCTTGCAATATGACGTCATTGGTGCCAATTGATAAAAGAATGACGTCATAAGACTTTATCAGACCCGTCTCACTTGGTGTCAGGACAGATGTTTGATTCTAGCTTCTGACAGATGCGCAGCCTACTGTTTTGTTCAGTGCTGCGCTGTTCAAAATCAGTGTGTGTGTCCGGACTAATGCCAGTTGAAAGTGATAGCCCGATGAGATACCATACCATGTAACAGTGTATCATGGATACCCCACTCAAACACAGTATACTGACTCCGAGCCAAACAGTCCTCGTTTTAGCCCCTCAATGCTGAGCCCAAGGCAGGGTAACAACAAGTACCGTTTTTTATGTCTTTCAAAATGACCACAAGGCTACCCACAGCCCTACTGACCAGGGCCCACTTGCACAAGGCAATCTTAGCTTCAGATGATTGTAACGTAGATACTTTAACATAGGCTTACAATAGTCTTAGCACTAAGATGATTGTAACTCAGATACTTTAACATAGGCTTACAATAGTCTTAGCGCTAAGATGATTGTAACTCCCATACTTTAACATAGACTTACAACAGTCTCAGCACTAAGATCGCCTTGTGCAAGTGGACCCTGGAGGACCCACTGACACAATAGCCACAAGAGTCCTTTTTACAGTACTCGACATCCCTGGCATCTTATATTCAACTCTTACCCAGAACTTTATGTTGTCAATAAAAATAAAAATTATTTCTGAGAAATATGGTTGATATAAAAATGCAATTTGTCCTGTAATTTAAACAATCTAATGCAAAGGCACATCAGTCATAAAGTCATTTTGGAAGTGATGCATCAAACTCCAGGTTTGAGAGGTCAAGGCGAGTTCAGTTCAGGAAGGACTTGTCATATTTGTCCAGTAAACCCTTAAAGTCTGTTGCCTCATCCCTGGAGGTGTTGAAACCCATAAACCCTTAAGTTCTTGTCTGTGTTGTATACCTAGCAAACACACAATGTTATTACGTGACTGTTTAATGTTTTTTCACAACGTAATAACAACGTTGCACATTTACGTCGAGAAAAACGTTGAAGATTGCACATCACACAACATTCTGTAACTGTAACAATTTGCTTCTTGATAGTCATATAAGAATAGAATTGCTTCAACAAAATCAACTTGATTTTGTTATAATACCAAGGCAGCAATGCAGTACTTTCCTATATATTCAGCATTTGGATATTTTCTCTTATTACTAAAATCTCCAAAATAATTGCATCTGTCTATAACAACGTTGGTATTACGTTACATTGTAACGTTATTCCACAACGTAATAACAACATTGCTAATTTACATTGTGAAAACATGCGTCGAACATCACAGAACGATTTTGTGAATAATGATCAGAAAACCACTTGCAGATCTACCATCTCTTAATATTATGTTTTTTAAACATATAGATGTATTTACAAAGTAATCTGCATTCTAAATGCCTAATGATGATAGGATGATGCATGGATGTTGTGCATTCAAATGCCATCCGTGCAGACGACTGTGCACCGTCTGGGCATGTACTCATGCATCTGGTCTTGGGCTGCAACGAATAACCGATGAGGCGCATACGATTTGTATCACGAATATAGGGTAATGAATACGAATATTAATTCACGAATACAATAACAAGTCAGCAGTTGATGTATTATTTGTCATATTCAGCATGTTCAGTGAGGCAACAACAACATAAATTATTTGACATTAATTATCTATATCATACATTTACAGGTACATTGTCAAGTTACTTAGTCTTAGTATCTGCTCAAATGCTACAATGACCAGTTAGCAAATTCCTGTCAAATTAAATATTATAAGAGTGTTGTCTTTAAAGAAATGTATGCATATCATATGTTCTTATGGACATTTTAGATACAGGGTATGAAATGCACATGATTGCATATTCATAAATATTTGATTCTAGTGGCAACGAATAACAAATTCAATTCATGAATGGATACGGTTCAATTCACCAAATATGTGAGTGAATCGTAACGGCCCTAATCTGGTCTCATCAGAGTGGCAGTTTGTGATCGATTTTTTAATCCTATCGTTCTGACTAATCTGTCCTGGGCTGGAGTTGTTGCCCTTGGGTGTGCAGAGCGGTGTTTACCATCGACGTTATGAGTTAAATGGTATCGGGCCCACAATCTGCTGCTGACAGAATGAGAAACATGCAGTGTTTTGGCAACAATATTCGGACGTGTGCCTACCTGAAAATGCCTATGACACACACTTAAAGATTCAGCAAGTTGCAAACGTCACATGATCAATGCCGTTGCTTCATAAATGATTAAATGTGTCTGATAAAGTGTCTTTGAGCGTTTGGTTCCAAGAAAACAATATGCGTCTGCTCACAGCTGAATCGGAGTGACAATGGTAAATGTGGCGTAGCAACCCTTGACCAAGGTCACATGCTTCATGCCTGTCACAAGGTTGTGTTTGGGAGCTTGATGTCTTCGGAAACGTTCTTGCCAAGTCAATCACTTACTTTCATGTCCAGACATTTGTGTATTTTCCTGTAGTTTCACCTCAAAACAAAATATGTCCTACTTTTTTCACTTAGCATAGCATAGCATAGCATAGTTTGTTTCTTTGTTGTTTAACGCCGCACTCAGCAATATTCCACATGTATGCAGGGTTAGAAATTGGCACTAGTCCTAAAGTCCTTGCAAAACTGCCCAATGGTAAAGGTATCACAAGGACTAGTAGAAAATTGCCATTTTTAAGGGTTTTGCTATATGTTATCATTATAAGGATTAGTGGAAGAAAACTGTTAGTTCCTAATGCTGTATATGACCGCAGTCTGTAAACAATCAAGTCTAGACCAGACAATCCAGTGATCGACATCATGAGCATCGATCTAAGCAATTGGGATATGATGACATGCATCAACCAAGTAAGAGAGCCTGACCACCCGATCCCATTTGTCGCCTCTTACAACAATCATAGTCGCCTTTTTTGGCAAGAATGGGTTGCTGAAGACCTATTCTTCCCCGGATCGTCACAGGTAGCATAGTGTATATGATAGATAAGACATGATAAGATATGACAAGCATGTTGTTGATGAGTGGATACTGACAATGTCAAGGTGAGCCCAAAGAGGCTTGCTTTACCTTGAGGCCATGTTCATCTGTCCCCGTGGAGAGTAGGACATTTCGACCACTCAGTCTGTTCCATCTAGCATGAGCATCTGCCAGAAGAACTGTATACAGGTGGCCGATGTGGGGGCCTGAAACACAGGGCTGCATTGCATCAAACATACAGAGAAGAAGTCACATCCTAATTTACTCAAATTACGTTGTTTGTTTGTTGCTTAACATAGGGATGAGAATGGATATTTACCTTTTCAACTGAAACATCTGTGCAATGGAGCGTGGTCCATAATTTCGGGTGGTTAGGGGGACACAATGAGATTTTAACAAATTTGGTCACTAAAATTCACAGAAATATTAGGATCTGCGGAAGATTCTCATCCCTGTTGACACTGTACTCAGCAATTTCCAGTCATATGCGGTGGTATGTAAAAAATAGAGTCTAGACCAGACCATCCAGTGATTGACATCATGAGCATCGATCTACGCAATTGGGATCGATGACATGCATCAAATAAACCACCCGATCCTGTTAGTCGCCTCTTATGACAAGCAAAGTCGCCTTTTATGGCATGGGTTGCTGAAGACCTATTCTCTTCCCGATCTTCACTGGTGCTCAAACCATGTAGAAATGCTGTATTTTTCAAGCTGGCCACAGGCCACTCATTAGAGACCTTAAGTGTGCAAGAAGACAACTTTTACAAAATTGGATAAAAACTTGATGATTCCGGGTTAGAATTAGTCAATACCCAGCAAACTATGCTGGTTGTAAGAGGGGACAAAACGGATCAGGCGGTCGACATTGTGAATTGGTTGGTTGCTAGTCATCGTAGACTGATGCACAGATTGTTGCCCACATTAGCAATTACTGGATTGTCTGGTCCAGACACGATTATTTACAGGCTGCGGTCATATAGCTGGAATATTGCTGAGTGCGGTGTTAAACAATAAACAAACAAATCAAAAGGAAATGAATGTTATTTAAAATTGTGTTCAACCAGCAAATGAGCATGTAGGCGTGTTCAAATTTTCATTAATTTTCCCATGTTGTCTAGTTTTAGTGAGCGAAAGTACAATCATAAATGAATTCATATGACAAACATTCACAAAAATTGAGGTATTTTTAAAGCAAGTAATTGCTAAAATTGCTAAAAGCGCTCTTTTCATGTTTAAGGCACTGGGAGGATATTTTAACTGCAATCATGATTTGCGGCACTTTCTAATACAAGGATTTTCAAACATTGTATACATGGTATATACATCCCTATCCACAATAATTTGTTAGGTTCGTTGTCGGCACAGCTACTACATACTGTGTGAATTTTAAACCATCTTTTTTCATTTATGACATGCAATTCTTCCAGGTAATCATGGTAAGGGATCGTGAGTATTGCACTTTTGTTTGCATGTTTTCAGATTCAATAAGCACGGCTTGGAGGATCGAACTCTCATTAACGGCTTGAAGCTAAGCTATTAGGGCTGGGACGGGTAACTCGGGTATCCGGGTCGGGTGGGTACTGAGTAGAACCCGGGTACCCACAGGACAACCCTGACCCGTGGTTAGTTACGTGATATATTGTTGAATGACAAAAATTATGCACCCATTCCTTCTGACCTGTTCATATGGTTGAATAAAGATATAACTTAAGTAAACTTCAGTGTATGCGTGACCAGATTGTTTAATACATGTGTCTAAATATGATTTGCCAGGGCTATGGTAAAAAAAATCCCAATCGGACATTTTGTACCTATCTCTTGAGGCCTACAGTGGGTACCCGGGTACGGTCGGGTAATAGGGGTCGGGTACAGTCGTGCCTCGTTTATACGGACACTTGCGTCATTTCACAATTCATCTGTATAAACAAATTCCCGTACTATAACTGAATCCAGCTTCTTACTGGAAGAGTTACTTCCCTTCAATTATGCAACTCAACACGTTTAAAAAAATCTGTCATGGAAGTTTGAACTTTACCACATTTTGAGGGTTGAATTTTAAACAATAATTCCACTTCTGTTTGTCTTTTAAAATGTCACCAATTGTCGATTTTCCTATGGTATGTCCAAATTCAGTGCCATAATGCTTACTGGTGGTTTCCAAACTTGCTGACGGGTGTTTTTCCTTACACAGACAAATTTCCCTTTTTTCGTGTGCTGTAACTGCGTGTCGCTTACGTTTCGCTGGTTGACAGGCCATACTCACAGTTTGAAGTCACAACTTTGACCACAGATGCCATATTTATCGAATGGGATTACATGTACAATAAACAAGCTCGTCTCAAACGTAACTCAGTGTCACTTGGTTAATTGACTTCTCACGAATCAAAGGATTTCCACCAGCGGAAGTGTATATTGTCCAGGTAAGTGAGACAATTTTGTGTGCATTTCAGTGTTTTGTGTATGAAAATGACCATCCGGTTTCTGAAACTGAATTTCTGTATAAACAGGTAATTGTATATAGTAATTATTTCGTTTTGAATGAAAATCGTCCAAGAACCGAGGTACCCGGGTAGTAAATTTGGACTCGTCCCAGCCCTATAAGCTAGGCTAATAAGTAATCTAACTATGGAGCATCCTCAAATTACACTGAATTAAAGAGACAGCTAACCAATATCCTACCTAACAACTAACTCTAAGGATCATAAAGGGTGACTGATAGTTTCGGCCTGTGATAGAAGATCTCTTTTGATTTTTAGCTAACTGTTCTCTATGATATTGAGATCTGGAGACTGTACCAGCCATTCAAGGACATTGATGATTGACAATATTGGAGAGGATGCCTAGTGTACCCTTTGCTGAACATTTTGTAAATTGACAATTTCTTATGTCCACTAACTGTAACTTGCGCCCGATAAAAAGGTTTTGTACATTAACTCAATTTATGCTTCAAGCATTATTCAATTGATCGATCATTACCGTATTCGACGTAAGCGCCCGGGCGCTTTCAAAATTAGAAATAGGGGACTCTTATTAGAACATTATTTTGGTGGAAAAAAAACAAAGTTGAAAGGTAAATTTCGTGGTTTATGCAGACAGCCTGAAATGTTTATATACGACAGATATATTTTTCCAGAATTTAATTGCCCATAATTAAGGGTGCATATAACACATGAGTACGTATTATACGCGAACAAATCATTCTTGTGTACATTGATCAATCGGAAGGGGTGCTAATTGGGATTGTTCACTAGCCAATATATTAGCAAAACTCGCTGTGGGCGCTTATTACGTCGAATACGGTATATTAAATAAGATTACTGAAAGTTAATTACCTGCATTTACATAAAAGATGGGTGTCGTCACATAGCAGGGAGTAGTATGTTTATAGCTGACGAGCTTCCGAAAACACGGCACACACAACCTTGTCAGCGACTTCCCGGGTCGACGCCGGACCAGTATGTTCACTAAAGTCGTACTCATGATCAGCTGTTCACGGGAGCACGGACCTTATTATCGATGAAATTAAGAATGACAGTCTATAGTCCAGTCAACAACATGTACATATCGTTGATGCAATCAATATCGTAGAACACATTCAGTGCATCAAAATAAATTCTAAACGAGTAAATTGCAGGCAGTGCTTCAAGCACATGACCCGTCTCTGTCTTCATGCTTCTCCATGGGCGCAGCCATTTTGGGAAGATAACTCTAAAAGATTCGCTCGATTAACGATTACTGCTTGAGAAGTGTCAGTGTACAGATCGTTCCCTACAGATCCGCATAATCCACTCTCCTCAAAATGTGAACTATAAAATATATTTAATACGGTTTTTTCGTAATAGTATTATGCATTGAATACCAATATAGCCAACTGCGTCATATATTAAACAGTAAAGCAATCAATATATAAATGCAAAACATATTGCAAAGAGGAAAGAATTACAAGGTATAGACAATTTTATGGATAACAACTTCTTTATACTGTAAAAAGTTGTTATCCACTATAAAGCTTTTTACAGTATTAAAGAAGTTGTTATCCATAAAATTGTGTCTACCTTGTCATCCGTCAACTTCTAAATAATGAATATCAAACAGGGCATGAATTATACATATATATGTTGATGCTCGTGAAACAGGGATTTTTTAGTGGTATACGACTTTTACAAGATTTTAGCGTGATTACGATAAGCAATCATGGTTTATCTTAGCATAAGCAGTTTTTATGAACATTTTACGTTGATCTTTTACGACAAAATGTGACGTTTTAGTGCAGGCTAACACATCATCTTATGCAGCAAAACGTCACCGATTTTATCTTACGAAAACGGCTACTGAATGTCAAGCGAAAACGGCACCTTATGTTTATTTTAGGTTTATTGCGATTCATGTAGAGGTATTTATGCTTTATTAATGAGTAACATTAATTCTGCTTTTATGACCATTCTAGCTTGCACATAACACTATAAATACCATAATCATCTGGTACCGTATTCGACGTGATAAGCGCTAAGGGCGCTCTCAAAATTAGAAATGAGAGGCTCTTATTAGAATATTATTTTGGTGGAAAAAACTGAGTTGAAAGATAAATTTCGTGGTTTATACTGACGGCCTAAACTGTTTATATACGACAGATATATTTTCCAGAATTTAATTGCCCATACTTAAGGGTGCACATAACACACGAGTGTGTATTATACATGAATAAATGTCTTGCGTACATTGATCAATCGGAAGGGGTGCTCATTGGAATTGTTCACTGGCCAATATATTAGCAAATATCGTCGTGGGCGCTTATTAGAGCGGGGCGCTTATTACGTCGAATACGGTAATTCCCTTTTCTCCCTTTATGAATTCCTTCATCCCTAATTCTACAAAATTATGGAATACTCTATCTATTAAATCAATTGGCTCATATTCACAATTTAGAAATGTATCCTCATGCAATTACAATAACAAAAACTTCTTCTGCACAAACTTTAATTTGCAACCTGATTCTGTCAAATTACCCACCGCCGCCCCAGGCCCGGATGTAATGACCTAATCGGATTAAATTCGACAGATTTATAACTAACAGCCTAAGTTGTCCCTTTGGTCACTAATATAAAAACCCGAAACACTACTTCTTTGTTTGTTGCAATTATGATCAAATTAGAAGCAATTTATTATATTACATAAAGGAATATGATATTAATACTGTACTCTGCGGATGTGAAGGCCTATCATCTAAATTAATCAAGACATTCTTTTATCTGTCCATACTTTAAACCCACATTTTGGTAGATTTTAGCTTAACTAATACTCTAAACACTCACATATATACAATACACGTATCTTGTGCATATGGTGTAAAAACTAATATAACGTATGATCCAATCATTCTATCAAAATCGGTGACCACCAAGGGATTATCTTGCGTAATTATAATGTACACGTCTTACTCCGATTTGTACAATGGCAGAGGTTTTGAAATAAACGATGTCTTTTTTACCGATCACAATTTTCAGTCAAAATATAAAAATGTGTTCATTTTTTAAATATATTTTTGTCACTCTGTTTCCACCATATTTCAACACATCGTCCAGCATTCGTCACATAATACGGCATGTTATTTTTTGCTGAGGTGCCGTTTTAGCTATAAGTTTTTTTTAAGTTGTTGTCCGCCAAACAGTATACACCCCATCAGGACCATCAGTGAGTGAGTGAGTTGGGTTTAACGCAGCTTTGAGCATCATTCGAGTTCTATCACGGCGAGTTAGCTTCATGTGGGAGGAAAGCCCGAAGTGATGCAGGTCTCAGACGTTTACCACTTCGTTGAAACCCACAAGCACGGGTATGGTGCTGACAAACCTAGTAACATAGTCGGGGCGAGACAGGATTCGAACCCACAATCACAGGTTTCTGGCGTGCCAAAAGGACGCAACTCTGCACAGCGAATCGCGCGGCCTTAGACGACTGGGCCACCAGTGCCCCCTCAGGACCCTTAGATTCGAATGCCCCACTTTAAGTTTCAGTGGAAGTGGGAGTATATGAAATAGGTGAGACCCAAGAGCGATAACAACATAAAATGGAGAATGCACACTAGACTACGAAACATAATATTGTGAAGGCAGTTCACGCCATGCAGTCCTCGGTCTAAATAATCTCATTAAAATCAGACCTCAGTTCTCGCTAACGCTAAACAAAGATCTGAGGACATCCCTAAAGGGTTACGTCAGAACGACCTTTCATCCGACCAAACAGAGCATCGCTTACCAGATTGTGAAAGTGACAGTCGGAATGTGATGTCTAATCATGCAACCTCGAAAACTTTAACTCCGAACGATAGTTACGGGTTTAACGACTGAATCCATACAATCTAGACCATCTATTAGCCTTCCCAGAATGTTCTTTTGTTCAGGTTTCAAATTTGTGAACACACAATAAATATTTCAAAATTAAACGTATTTTTAACAGGCTATTTTCAGTCATGTCCTTATATGGCTGAAATAATGCCGATGCGGAGATAAATTTTAATTCGCTCACTATTTTCAGTAATAGAAAACTCAGTTCTCGACGGGCGAAACCCGCGAATCTTTTTACCAATCAGAAAAACGTTGTCGATGTCGATTCGCTATTGTATGGAATCGTATTAAAGCCACCGAAAATAAACCAGCGTCAAGTATATTGCTATGTCTTGTTCGGCGAAACAAGCTGCATCTGCTCTGTACTCTTTTGAGGGTCCGTAGACTAATTACGATTCCATTAAGATTTACTAGGCACATCAAAATTTCTAAATTTGACAATCCAAGTCTAAATAAAATCGAACTGCATCTTTATATGACTTTTTGTTGAAGAATTGGTTGTCAAGGAGATTTGAGAGACTTTAAACAGTACTTCAATCTCATTAAAATCAGACCTTATATTAGTTCTCGCTACCGCTGAACAAAGATCTGAAGACATCCCATAAGGGGTCGCGTCAGAACGACCTTTCATCCGACCAATCAGAGCGTCGCTTACCAGATTATGAAAGTGACAGTCGGAATGTGATTTCTACCTCGAAATGCATAACACGGGGTATTCCGAACGATAGTTACTGGTTTAACGACTGAATCCATACAATCTAGAGCCATTCCAGAATGTTCTTTTGTTCAGTTTTCATATTTGTAATTGAGAATTTGTCAAAATATGTTTCGAAGCATAGTCGCCAATTTGAAATTAGTGCCATAAAGCACAAGAAAGCTGCCTTCTGATTGGTCAATCCATTGGTCGGTCAAAGTTCGCGTAAGGTCGGTCTGACGTGACCCGTAAAGGGATGTCCTCAGATCTTTGTTTAGCGGTAGAGAGAACTAAGACCTGATTTTAATGAGATTGAACAGTACTTTATCTTCAACGTAGCTGATAGCATCATCTACATAGATTTTTTTATATAGAATGTGGCACTAATACGCTTCCATACATTTGCGAAGTTGAACTTCCTGTAAAATGTCACGTCCCTCAAATCGTTTCGGAAACGAAGCAAAGCGATTTGCATTGTGCAGAAGTTCGAAATGTTGGGATTAATCGTTTGGAGAAGGAAACGTGTCATTTGTTTCCAAACACAAACGCGTGTTATCTAAAGAGCGCACTTTCCCGTCACGAACTGTGTTAATTCGATACAAATGATTCCATGGCCACTCTACCCGACTGATGAGCGACACGAACAGGAACTTGGTGACATATGACGGAGGAGATAACAGTGTTATTTTATGGTGCCGATCTCGCTCTTGATTAACTGGCTCCAGAAATACACCCAATTCATCTTTAATTGGTGATGTGATTTTTTCTTCAAAACGTTGACTCAAAATAGCGGCATTATCGAGAGAGAAAAAAGACAAATAACACTATTTAATTATTCAAAGACTTTGGAGTATCATTAGGCAATGTTCAAAATCATGGCGTCACTTAACAAGCGGATGTTTTTACCAAGGTACCGTCGGAGTGAGGGAAAGGGAATTTTTATCGATGAGTGTTGATGTGTACTCTCCCTTAAAGTAACGAATAGGTGCATTGTTGCATCTTTAATCAACTGTGATCAAAGTAGGATAACCAATTTAATACAATGTGACGTGCAGCCAAATTACACAATAAGAAACTCGGAATGTTAGTTATCATAAAAAAAAAGTCAATAAAAATTGAATTGGTGATGACGTCAGTTCACAGGTGGGCGTTGTTCTTCGTACCTAATGTGTCCACGTGTGCCTCCAAAACGCTTCTGCATCTTCTCGGCGTGAACTGAAGAAGTCTTTGGACCAGAGCTTTTGGCTCTGAAAGTGCTGGAAATTGATCAGTTGAAAGAAGAAGTAAACAGCCAAGATGAAGACTCAAACTATGTGAGCTCTGGGTTTGATGAATTGAGAGACTATGAAGCTCAAACGGAGAAAGTCATCAAGTCATTTAAAGATTCAGTCTCACGCCCACCTTATTAACAAACTGTAGCAAGAAAATCCACATCCCAAGGAAGATTTTGAAGCAAATCATTCTAAATATAAGTGAGTGAGTTGGGTTTAACGCCGATTTTAACAGTATTCCAGTTAGATCACGGCGTGTCAGCTTAATGTGGGAGGAAAGCCTGAAGTGGTGCAGGTCTCAGACGTTTACCAGTTCGGTGAAACCCACGAGCACGGGTATGGTGCTGACAAACCTAGAAACATAATCGGGGCGAACCGG